TTCCGTGGACAAGCCACTACAGAGAATGCTGGGGACAGCGCAGGTGGGGAGCATGGAGGAGTGGGTCCCACTGTGGGCTCCTGGGGGCCTAGGGTTGTGCCCCTCATCCATCCAGCCTGGAGGAAGGAGCCCCCACCCCCAAACCCTGGTCCCTAGAGACCTCCAAGGCCAGAGCCTCCCACACCAAGGCTGCTCCTTGGCGTTCCCTGGGGAAGCTGCTACAAACAGACTCTACTCTGCATGTGCTGATCAGAGAGCAAGCCCCGAGAAGCCTCGGAGGGTGAGCAGAATCACGCACGTGCTGCACCGTGAAAGAAAGGGACTACAAACCCACACTTGTTTTTTTTTTTTTTTGGCCTATGTAGACATAAACATAAATAAGATGCACAACACTAACTGCTAACAACAATAGTTACATTTTAATCCTGTGGCAAAATACCTTGAATGTAAAATTTCCTGTCTTAAGAATTTTTTTAAAAAAATTTATTATTTATTTATTTGAAAGGCAAGGTGACAGAGATGGAGAAGGAGGAGGAGGAGGGAAGAGAGAGAGAGAGAGAGAGAGAGAGAAATCTCCCATCTGCTGGTTCATTCCCCCAAATGGGTGCAATGGCCAGGGCTGGTCCAAGCTGAAGCCAGGAGCCAGGAACTTCCTGTGGGTCTTCCATGAGGTAGCAGGGGCCCGAGTACCTGAGTCATGAACTGCTGCTTCCCCAGGCGCATTAGCAAGGAGCTGTATCAGAAGTGAAGCGGCCGGCGCCGCGACTCACTAGGCTAATCCTCCGCCTTGCGGCACCGGCACACAGGGTTCTAGTCCCGGTCGGGATGCCGAATTCTGTCCCGGTTGCCCCTCTTCCAGGCCAGCTCTCTGCTGTGGCCAGGGAGTGCAGTGGAGGATGGCCCAAGTGCTTGGGCCCTGCACCCCATGGGAGACCAGGAGAAGCACCTGGCTCCTGTCTTCGGATCAGCGCGGTGTGCCGGCCGCGGCGGCCATTAGAGGGTGAACCAAAGGTAAAGGAAGACCTTTCTCTCTGTCTCTCTCTCTCTCTCTCACTGTCCACTCTGCCTGTCAAAAAAAAAAAAAAAAAAAAGCGAAGCAGCCAGGATTCAGACTGGCGCCCATATGAGAGGCCAGCATTGCAGGTAGTGGCCTAACTCACTATGCCACAGCGCTGGACCCAGAAATCTGCTTTTTAATCGAGTCTCCAGGTGATCCTGGCATTTGGGAACTTCTTTCCTGGCCCAGCTGTTCACGCCCTGCAGAAGCCATACCCACCATGGCTCAGTGCTCAGCCAGCCCCAGCTGTCAACCTCCCCTTGTCGGGAAGCCCCTCCCCTCACAAAAATGTCTTTCTAAGGAAAGTCTTGTCTCAGTGGGGCTCAAACGGTGTCCAGACCCATGCCCAGCCTGTTGGTCTCTTCCAGGACACACCTTGGTGCCTCAGGACAGACACCCCTGTAAGTGGCCCCAGAACTGGACACAACTCTCCAGCATGGCCCACCCAGGGGCAAAGACCCCTGGTCCCACCCCTCCCCAAACTGTAAACTATTCTCCCATGATTCAGTCTGCACGGAAGGTCAGAGAAGGGCAGGAGCCCCAAAATGGCATGGTGGTCTAGGCTAATCCTCCGCCTTGCGGCGCCGGCACACCGGGTTCTAGTCCCAGTCGGGGCGCCGGATTCTGTCCCGGTTGCCCCTCTTCCAGGCCAGCTCTCTGCTGTGGCCAGGGAGTGCAGTGGAGGATGGCTCAGGTGCTTGGGCCCTGCACCCCATGGGAGACCAGGATAAGTACCTGGCTCCTGCCATTGATCAGCGCAGTGCGCCAGCCTCAGCGCACCGGCAGCGGCCATTGGAGGGTGAACCAACGGCAAAAGGAAGACCTTTCTCTCTGTCTCTCTATCTCACTGTCCACTCTGCCTGTCAAAAAAAAAAAAAAAATGGCATGGTGGTGTGTGCAACAGGCATCCTACCCACTGAGCTGGAAACAGAAGGATCAGGCTCCTGAATCAGTAGGAATTCACGTCCTCTTACCCCTCTGTAAGCTGTAGTCCTCCCTTTTTGCCACAGTAGTAACGACAATGATGGTGACAATGACAGAGAACATGACTGAGCCCCTACTGCATGCCAGGTGTTCTTCCACACCTGTCATTGCATCCATTCATTTCACTGTCACCACAATCCTATAGAACAGGTAGCATTACCCGCAGTTTTTACAGATGAAGCAACGGAGGCTCAGAGGATGAGTAACTCACCCGAGGGACCTGGTGCTTCCTCTTCAGTCACTGCCACCTCTAAGCTCGCGTGGAGCAGCCCTGTGCTGGCCTGATTTCCCAGCATTCTCCACTACCAAACCCTAGAGTGCAGATCCTCCTGCTAATACACCTGTGCTCCCAGCCTTTCCTGACAACTCATTTCCTCTGCCCTGCCCATCTCTCTCTCAGGAACTTACTGGATGGCTGGAGCCGACCTGCTGAAGCAATGCAAGCTGGGGTGTCTCTGGCTGATGTATTTGCTCCCTTAGGTAAGTGTGTGTACACACATATATATGTGTATACAATTTTCAAAGTCGAATTCTTTTTTTTAAAATATGTATTTATTCAAGAGAGACAAAGAAAGAGTTCCCAACTGCTGGGTCACTCTCCAAGTGCCTGCAATAGCTGGGGCTGGGCCAGGCCAAAACCGGGAGCTGGGAACTCAATTCAGGTCCCCAGCATAGGTGATGGGGACCCAAGTACTTGAGCCATCACCGCTGCCTACCAGGGTGCACAGTAGCAGGACGCTGGAATTGGGTATGGAGCTGGGATGCTAACTCAGGTACTCCATATGGGATGCAGGTGTCCTAAAGTGGAGTCTTAACCACCAGATCAAGTGTCCACCCAGAATTCTTATTCTAGAACACAAGACCACGACAGACTACAGTCGTAAATATGTAGTAAAGGCAATCTTCAAAGTCAGGCTTTGTGAAATGGCCTGAAAAGATCGTGAAAAGATATCGGAGCCTCAGGAACTCCATATCCGCCCATAAATCACAACCTACAGACTTGAGTCTAAGGGGGTGGGGCTGGGGTCAGTCCCCTCCCTGGGGGACGCAATGGCCTAGGCAAAGCCCTAGGCAGAGTCAAGAACCGTACGTTGCTGAAGGGGCTCAGAACTTTGCAATGAGCCCCTAGAGGTGCTTGTGGAAAGAGAGAAGTTTGGGGAGCCCTCTGGGACCAACGTGCCCAGACGCAACACAGGATGTCTAGTCAAATTTGAGTTTCAGATAGACAACGAATTTTAGCATAAGTATGTTCCAAATATTGCCTTGGACATACTTACAGTAAGAAACATCTGTTAGGGGCCAGCATTGTGGCATAGTGGGGTAGGCCACTGATTGTGATGCTGGCATCCTGTATCGGGGCTCTGCTTTGAGTCCTAGCTGTTCTGCTTCTGATCCAGCTCCCTGATGATGTGTCTGGAAAAGGAGCAGAAGATGGTCACGTGCTTGGGCCCCTGCCACCCACGTGGGAGACCCCGTTGAAGTTCTGGGCTCCTGGCTTCAGCCTGGCCCAACTCTGGCTATTTTGGTCATTTAGGGAGTGAACAAGCAGATGGAAGACTCTCTCCCTCTCTCTCTCTCTCCCTCACCCCCCTTCAAAGAAATAAAATAAATCTTTTTTTAAAAAAATCCAGGTGTTGTGGCACAGCAGGTAAAGCAACTGCCTACAACACCAGCATCCAAGATGAGTGCCAATTCTATTTCTGGCTGCTCCACTTCTGATCCAGCTCCCTGCTAATGCACTTGGGAAAGCAGCAGAAGATGCTGCTGAACCCGCATGGGAGACCCGGATGGAGTTCCGTCTCCTGGTTTCAGCCTAGCCCAGCCCCAGACATTGCAGTCATTTGGGGAGTGAACCAATGGATGGAAGATCTCTCTCTCTAACTTTTTCAAATAAAAATAAATAAACCTTTTTAAAAAAATCTGTTGTTGACTGGAAATTCAGATTTCCCTGGGCATACTCAGACTGTCCTTATTTGCTAAATCTGGGGGGAGTCCTAGGGAGAAGACACAGGTCTCTTGTGACAGTTCCCACTTGCCCATCTCCACATCCCTGGGGGAGGTGGCCTCATGCGCACTGCCCCCAGGGTCCACCTAACCAGCTTCAAGGCCAAGGCCATGGTGATCAAGCAGAAGAGGGGTCACCCTGGATCGTCCAAGGGGGTCACACCCATGGTTGGCTGTGCCTTGGATCTCAAAGCCTACTTTTTTTCCTTTAGAAGGAGACTGATGAGGGGGCCTTCTAAGAGGAACTCCCCCCACTCCCGCCCAGTGATATCCAGTTCCCCTGGCTTTGCTCCTTCCTTTTTCCTTATCACTGAAGAAACATACATTCAGGGTGGAAAATCTAGTATCACCACTCCACAGAATTTGCTAAGTCCCTCCAGAGAGAAATACCATTAAGTCTGACGTGTTTCCTTCCAGATTTCTCTACAGATTTTAGCATGTTGTTGCTGTCACAGCATCAGATACAGACGCTGGGGAGACCTGCCTGTTTCCCGTGGCGACAGGGCCTGCTTTCTGCACACGTGCGGGCACCAACTAGCTGGTGTCCTACCAGCAGCATTCTCTGCCAGTGGCACTTGGTCTTTCAGGCATGTTTGAGGCATGACGCAGGCACAAAGCCATATCACACACATTAGGATGTGACTTTGTGTGCCACAGCCTCCCTGACCCCTTCACCTGCACAAGGAGTGAATGTGTGCATGTGTATGGGGTTCTCCAGGAAAAGGTGGGGATTGTAAAATGGGCAAGGGGTGGGAAGGACTATTTGGGGGTGGGGAGCGGGATGGGGAGACCCTGTTTCCATTGTAAGACCCTCAGAATCTCTCAGGCACCTGTCCCATTCCCTCCTGTCCCCAGCTCCTCCTCAGGCCAGGGGCTCCGATCCTAGCATCCTTGTCAAGGTCACCTGACTACAGCAGCTGCCAAACCCCTGGGCAACGCCAAGAGCCTCCTGGCCCCAAACGGGTTGGGCAGCATTCACTTGGCGGTGCTGTCCCCGGCTGCTCAGTCATTAGAAGATGCCAGGGTGGCAGGTGCTCTGACAGCGGCTGGAGGAGATCGAGCTGGCTGCCCAGCACCTCTGGCTGCCTCCGATCCATCGGCTCTGTAGAAGCCCCCCGGGGAGAAGGAAGGCAGATGCTGCTTTGGCTGGTCCCGGCCCAAGTGAGTCCAGGGGCCCAGCTTGGAGGGGGGTGGGGAGCGGGAGAGGGAGGCGGGGGCTTGGCAGTGTTCCGGACTGAAGTGTGAATGATGCAGGTATGTGTGTGTGAGAGACAGAGAATGTGAGTAGTACCTACGAGTGGGAAAGCAGTCAGAACTGAAGCTACAGGGCCTTGTGCTGGGGTTCTGGGAGGGAACCTCAGGTCCTGAAAGTGTCACTTCTGCCTCACGGGCTCACTGTCCGGAGAGGGGTGGTTTCTCTGGGATGGTGATATCCACTCCACCCCTGCCCTGTTCTCAAAACAGGCTGCGGCCGTGGGCGAGGCTGGGCACTGGAACACTATGAGATCTGCTCCCATGGGCCAGCCAAAGTCTTCCCCTGCCCCACAAGTGGCCGGAGGGACAACCCTGTTTAGGGTCCCTCTATGGAGAGAAGCTTGTAGTCACTTCTCCATCAAGCTTCTTCATTACTCCTTTGACCCACGTCTGAAAGGCCCATCTGAGTCCCCTACGAGGTAAAGGCACAGAGCATGGGTTCGAATCCTGGGTCTGCCCTGTGCTAGCTAGCAGTGTGATTTTTGAGCAAGTGACTTCACTCAGAAGCCTTGGGACTCAGTTTCCTCCTTGGCAACACAGAGATAATATCTACCTCCCAGAGTTGTTGTCAGGAGTCAACGAGGAAGGCACGCAAAATGCCAAGCTCGTAATTAGTGTTCAATAAATGGCCGCTGTTGTAATTATTTATGATTAGCACAGCCCTGGTCCCAGCTCGCCCAGAACGACGTCCCCGTCCTCCTCTTCCCCTCAGGCTCCTGAGGTGCTATGGGGATGCCCCGGGCCTACAGCACCTGGCAGACGGCAGCACGGACCTGGCGTTTCTGCTGCTGCCCCCTCCCTCACCCCAGCAGAGGCAGGCCCATCAGAGGAGCGCGGGGATGGAGAATCGAATGTGCGGCACTAAGGGAAAGGGAGAGACACGAGGAGGGAGGGGTCAGAGAACAAGTGAGCAAGGGAGGCGGAAGGAAGGTGGGAAGGAGGCGGCACTGCCCGGCGTGCATGGCACAGCTGCGGGGAAAGGAGTGTGCAGGGCGGCCCTCACCTCGGCAGGGATCTAGGCTGTCTCAGGCACTCCCTGGATTCCCTCTACTTTTCCTTGAACTTGAATGTGAAGTAGAAGCTCACCTCTTCCCCACTGCTCACCCCAAGGACAGTGCTCCTATCACTGCTGCTGCCGTCAGCTGGTCACCCAGTCTAGCAGTCGAGTCTCAGAATCTTCCATCACTCACAGCATCTTCCGTCTCTGCCATCTCCCTCTCCCTCTCCCTCTCCATCATCCTCCCTGGCAACCTTGGGCTCTGCTCATCTAAACAACCAGGCTGTTTGCTTGAGTGACACTGAAGTCCTTTCAAATCCTCTTGTCCTCCTGCCTACTGTGAATCCTACTTCTCAGTTATCCAAACAACTCAAGCTATTGATCACCTGTCATTATTTAAAATGATCTCTTATGTCCACCAGGCTCTAAAGTTTCATACAGGACTTTCTTGATCAGTCCAATAGCTCAGTGCCTAGCATGTAGCAGTTACTCAGTAAGTATCTGTCAAATAATTGGATGGATGGGTGGAGGGATGGATGGATGGGTAGATTTGCCCACCATACACCTGTGGGAGTTTGGAAATGCAGGTTAACATGTTGGTAGTTGGTTGCCTGAAGAAAATCATGGTCATCCTGATATTAACCCCGGATATTAACATTTGCAAAGTGTGTGCTATGAGAACAACTGAGAAACACTGAAGTTACCATCTTCATTTTGGCCCACTACCCATCAGCTATCTAATTATTGTTGTATTCAGTTATCCTGACTTGAGGCAAGCTGCCCCTCTATGGAGAGGATGTGATTTTTTCCCCCAGTCATCCGCAGTCAAGAACATTTGGGGACAAGAAGGAAGGAGGGGAAAGCAGACATCATAACTGCCTTGGGGGCTAGGAGAGGGGTTTCCACCCGTACGATGGCACCTACTATCTACTGAGCACTTCCTGTGTGCCAGACAGCTCTGAGAGGAAGTAGTTCTATTATCAGCCTCATCTTACAGATGGGAAACTGAAGCTGAGAGGTGAAGTACCTTGGCCAAGGTTACACTGACAGTAATGAGTGTATCAAAGATTGGAACCCAGCCCCCAAGTCTGAGCACTCGACTCCCTTTCCAGCCTGGGGACCACGCTGAGGACCCCCGGAGACTTAGACAGGAAACCCCTGCAAATGTCGCTCTTTCTTAGGTATGGGGCATTTTCAACCTGGAAAAAATGGATTTGGAAGGAAGGCAATAAGGAGAAGTGATTACAAACGATTTGTTGTCTTTACAGTTTGTCCTGCCTAATAATTGATCTTGTTTCCATTACATCATCACCCAGGTCTGGGGCTTCCACAGAGCTCTGTAAGGGTACTCCAAAAGGTGAATTAAATGTAGCATGGAAAAGTTCGTTTATTTTGGAGAAAGAAACTTTCAAAATTCATGTGTACAAGGGATATTTGAAAACTTTATGGAAAATGCATATTACGAAAAACTGCAAGGGTTTCCATTTTTTTTACCAAAATAAACTTGTCTTTTAATTGTATTATTTTTAGTATTGTTTCAATATTTATTTATTATTTATTTGAAAGCAGTATAGCAAGAGAGGGAGAGACAGAGAGATCTTCCATCCACTGGTTCACTGCCCAGATGGCCTCAACGGCCAGGGCTGGGCTAGGCCAAAGTTAAGAGCCAGGAGACTCACCTGGCTCTCCCACATGGATGACAGGGGCCCCAACATTTGCATCATTTTATTTTGCTTTGCCCAGGCCATTGGTAGGGAGCTGGATAGGAAGTGGAGCAGCCAGGACATGAATCTGTCCCATATGGGATACTGGTGTGGTAGGCTGTGGCTTTACCCACTACACCACAGCACTGGCCCCTTAATTCCATTTTCCCACAAACTTTTTGACATATCCTCATACGTTGTCAGTGCATCCTAGAGTCTTTGGACTCTGGCGTTGGTGGAAGAATATTTCAATAACTTGTCCTCCCTCTTTAGAAAGTTCTAGATAAGTTTAGACAACATAGTTGTGACACAGGGACCTCTAAACGAAGACCTAACCACTTGGCCAAGCAGGTCTTTCCCTTCGAAGTCAGGCACTGAGTGCAACACTTGTGCTGAGAACACCTTGGGGACTTCTACTTGTAACTCACCTTGCCTTTTAGAGTGTGTCTGTATCTTTGATTTCAGTCTCATGCCACTCAATCACTCATTTACTCACTCCCCAGACTTGGCTCTCGGTGACTTTTGGCCATTTCCAATTTACCAGACGTATCCTCAAAGGATGAATATCTGCCTTCACCAAGGTTAAGCAGAAGGTTCTCTCACTGCCCCAGGCAGCCCCAGATGAAGAATCTGAAGAATGACCGAGCTGTGGTGGGCGGAGGAATGAGCCCACAGCTTCCTGAGCTAACCACTCGGAGGGCCAGCAGGCATTTGGATGTGTAAGTTCTGAGCTTTATTTTCAAAACAGTCATTGCTTTATGGCTGCACTTAGCACAGAGGCGCGCAGTCTAACAGCTGGATGAAACCCGGTGTGTCAGCCAGCCCCAGCTAGGAGGGAGCGGAAGGAAGAGCAGGGCTTTTCTGGGAAATGGCCACTCTGGGTGCAGGCCCAAGCTGGGGACTGGACTGACGCTGGGCGTGGGTCATCTTAGGCACCTGCTTGCCCTGGGAACTGGGGCCTCCTGTCTTCATTTCCAGCATGGAACCAGGAAAAGGTGAGGTGATGACCTCACCCTGAGGGCCAGTCACAGTTGAGGTGAGGCATCAGGTCTTTCAGGTACCCTCCTTCACTGCACACACCTCTCCCCGAGCCCATCGGCTGGGGTCTCTTGGTATCCACCTCCCAAAGACCCCTCCCAGAAGCACCTGCTCGTCTCCTCTTAAGGGTCTTGGGCTCTAGGTCTTGGGTCTTGGTTTAACTGAAGTAGACCACTGAGCAGGGGCAGCAGAAAAGGAAAGAGCAGGAGGAAAAGGAAGAAGAGGCTGTGCCCAGCAGAAGGGATAGGGAAGCCAGGGAGGTGGAGGTGGAGGTGGAGGGGAGGGAAGGCCAGAAAGGCCCGAGGTTCATGACCCTTCCCCCCACCCCCAGCTAAGTCCTGCCTTCTCCGGGCAGCCATGTCAGAAGGGGAGAGCAAGGACAGCTCGGGCAGCGAATGCCCCGTGTGCTACGAGAAGTTCCGGGACCTAGACGGCGCCAGCCGGACGCTGAGCTGCGGCCACGTGTTCTGCCATGACTGCCTCGTCAAGTACCTGCTGTCCACCCGAGTGGACGGGCAGGTGCAGAGGACTATCGTCTGCCCCATCTGCCGCTACGTCACCTTCCTCAGCAAGAAGAGCTCCCGCTGGCCCTCCATGCTGGACAAGAGCTCACAGACCCTGGCCGTGCCTGTGGGCCTGCCCTCGGTGCTCCCACCAGACAGTCTGGGCCACACTAACCCCCTGGCCATCTCCCAGCCGGTCTGGAGACACAACCCTAGCCAGGCGAGACTGCCGGGCAGCCCGGGGCAGGGGGCCCAGCTGCCTTTGGACCTGCTGCCCAGCCTGCCCCGGGAGTCACAGATCTTCGTCATCAGCCGCCACGGGATGCCGCTGGGGGAGCAGGACAGCGTGCTGCCACGGCGCAGCCTGGCCGAGCTCTCAGAGGCCTCTCCGGCACCCAGCTCCACACGCTCTTTCTGCTGCCGCTCCCGGGCCCTCCTGCTCATCACCCTCATTGCCGTGGTGGCCGTGGTGGCCGCCATCCTGCCTTGGGTGCTGCTGGTGAGGAAGCAGGCATGAGCGGTGGCACATGCAGGGACAGCCAAGCTGCTCAGGAAGCTGCCAGCTCCATGGCTGGGATGGATGTGGCTTGGGAGGGGGCAGAAGGGGCCTCCAGCAGACCCAGTATAGGAAGCTCTGAAGGGTGGACAGGATCTGGGAGGAGAGGGAGTGGAGATGGGATTGGATTGGAATTGTGATGGTTCTCTCCGTGAGGGGCTTCCCATCCCAGCAAGGGCTAAGGCATGACAGGGAGGTAGGCGGGGCTGAGCCGCGGCCCTCTGTGTGTCTCCTCCCCTCCTGTAGGCTGGAACTGACCAGGCTGGGAGGTGGTGGATCACTGCTCTCTGGCAGGGTCACCTGAGGCATAGACCTCACCTGCCCGGTGACTTACTGGCAGCCAGGTGGGCCTCCCAGGCCAGACACAAGGAAGCTGTGCTGGCCAAGGTCCTGGCGCACACGGCCCACCAGCAGAACCTCCCTAGCTTGTCCCCAGAACAGACAGAAGGGGCGGTGCAGGGGCCCAGGCACACGAACCTCATGGTACTCCAGCCCCAAGTCATCCCTGTCTCCAACCTGCCAACCTGGAAGGCCTTCCCTAGAAAAAAGCTGGCGAGAGGTGCTGGCCCAGGATTTCTGGGGAAAGGCTGTAGAAAATCTTCCCTGAGAGCTGAAGCCACGTCAGAAACCAGGGCTTGGAGTGGCCCAGACAGAACCAGGGGTTCCCCTAGGCACGAAGATGGGGTCTAGATTTTGAGTCCTGGGTTCTTAAAGCTGCACAGGAAGGCAGGAAGAGGTGGGGAAGCCTGACAGGTGAGACTTGAGTCAGCTGAGAACTATGTGGGCAAATTAACCCCTGGGGGCTCCAGCCTCCCTCCCAGCCCGGGCTCCTCCTCCCCATGACCCAACCATTCATTAGAGGCCGCACCAGCTGGGCCAGTTTCCGAGGTGGATTCTCAGGCTGGGCTGGGTGAGGAGGGTGGGGAAGGAAGGAGCTGGGCTTGTCAGGGACGCTGAAACCCAGGTGCTGTCAGCTGTGGGCCAAGGCCTCTTACCTGGGGATGCCACGCTGGGGGCCCCACCCCGGAAAAGCCTTAGACCAGGTCTCACTTGAGGAGTGGGTCATTTAGGGAGCAGCTACTGTTTATGGAGGCCCAGTCAGTCCACCAATGCCTTACAATGGCAAACAATCTTCCAGCCCAGCTCACACACAGGTGGAGGTCTGCTCCCCAGGTGTGCGGGCAGCTGAGCCTCCACCACCTGTACCCTCTTACCTAATCCCTCTGTGCCTGCAGTGGTGGCCACTTGGGGAGCTCCAGGAAATAGGGTCCACACTGCCGGGGCTCCTGGGTCATGGGGAGGGCTGTTAAAGGGCTGAGGGGCTCTTTAGGCTCTTTTCCAGACTGGAGGACAGCCCAGGTGCTACAGGAGGGGAGGGGATACAGGTGGGTTCCATGGCGGCAGGGTGCGGCAGGGCAGGGGGAGGGGGATATTTATTATAGGAATAAAAATGTTAACTTCACAAAGACTTGAGTGAGTCCATTTTAACCTTATCCAGGCTGTTTAAGCAGGGTCCCAAGCTTCTGGGAACCCGATTCTAGTCTTTTCTGGTTCTGTTGTTTTGCTGAGAGCTTCTTTCAAAATTCCTGCTGTGTTTTTGTATTGGTCAGCAGTGACTTGCAGGTGGAACTTCTTCTATTTTCAAAGAATGTTGAAACGATTTTTTTTTAAATAAAGGTATATATTTTCTCAAAGATTCCAGAGACTTTGCAATGCACAGGGGAAGCTCTGGGCTTGGGGTTGTAGGATAATTCACCCCAGATGAAAAGGACAGTTTGAGGGGCCAGTGCTGTGGCATAGTGGGTTAAGCCAGTGTCCCGTTTAGGTGCCAGTTTGAATCCTGGCTGCTCCACTTCCAATCCAGCTCCCTGCTAATGGCCTGGGAACGCAGTGGAAGATGGCCCAAGAACTGGGGCCCTTGCACCCACGTGGTAGATCACCAGGATGAAGCTCCTGGCTCCTGGCTTCAGCCTGGACTAGCCCTGGCTGTTGCAGCCATTTGGGGAGTGAACCAGCAGATCGAAGATCTCTCTCTCTCTCTGCCTCTGCCTCTGCCTCTCCCTCTCTGTAACGCTTTTACATAAATAAACAAATCTTTAAAAAAAAAAAAAAAGACAATTTGAGAACAGAAATGGTCTTAAACAGTCATTCAGCCACACCTGGGGAAAGAACCACAAGTTAAGAGTCTGGGCCTGGAGCTGGCGCCATGGCACACTAGGTTAATCCTCCGCCTGCGGCGCCGGCATCCCATAGGGGCACGGGTTCTAGTCCCGGCTGCTCCTCTTCCAGTCCAGCTCTCTGCTGTGTGGCCTGGGAAGGCAGTGGAGGATGGCCCAGGTGCTTGGGCCCCTGGACCCACATTGGAGACCAGGAAGAATCACCTGGCTCCTGGCTTTGGATTGGCGTAGTTCCGGTGGTTGCGGCCATTTCGGGGGTGAACCAATGGAAGGAAGACCTTTCTCTCTGTCTCTCCCTCTCACTGTAATGCTCCTCTCAAATAAATAAATAATAAAATCTTAAAAAAAAAAAAAAAGTCTGGGCCATTGTGCATCTATTAGCTTGTCAAACCCTTAATATTTTGTAACCCACTCTGCACCGAGGCTGAGGGAGTTGCTAACGGGAATGTATATTGGCATAAGCTTGAATAAGGGAAAGTCAACACTACCCATCAAAATTCCCACATTGGGGCCTGCACTGTAGCGCAACTTGTTAAAGTCCCAGCCTGCAGTGCAGCCTCTCATATGGACACCAGTTGGAGTCCCAGCTCTCCACTTCTGATCCAGCTCCCTGCTAATGCGCATCGGAAAGCAGTAGAAGACAGCCCACCCCCTTGCACCCCTGAACCCACGTGGAAGACCTAGAAGAAAGCTTCGGATCAGCTCAGCTCCAGCGGTTGTGGCCATTTGGGGAGTGAACCAGCATATAGAACTTTCTCTCTCTCTCTCTGTTACTCTGCCTTTCAAATAAACAAATCTTAAAAAAAAAAAAATTGTATTGAGGGAAGGGTGTTTGGCACAGTGGTTAAGACACTGCTTGGGGGGCCGGTCTTGTGGCATAAAAGGTTAAGCCGCATATGGGCGCTGACTTGAGTCCTGGCTGCTCCATTTCCAAACCAGCTCCCTGCTAATGCACCAGGGAAAGCAGCAAAAGATGGCCCAAGTCCCTGGACCCCAGCTACCCACAAGAGAGACCCGAGTGAAGCTTCCAGCTTCTGGCTCCTGGCTCCTGACTTTGGTCTGGCCCAGCCCTGGCTGTTGAAGCCATTTGGGGAGTGAACCCAAACAAACAGAAGATCTCTCTTTCTCTCTGTAACTCTGCCTTTCAACAACAACAACAACAACAAAATTTAAAAGGACATTGCTTGGGATGCCTGCATCCCATATTGGAGTACTTGGGTTCAAGTCACAGCTCCCCTTTTGATTCCAGCTTCCCACTAATGCACACCTTGGGATGCAGCAGGTAATGGTTCAAGTACTTGGGTTCCTGCCCATGGGGCACCTGGATTGAGGTCCTGGTTGCTAGCTTTGGCCTGGCCCAGTTCCAGCTATTGCAGGAGAGTGAACAAGTGGATGGATGATCTCTGTTTCTGTCTCTCTGCCTTCAGCGTACACACCTATTTCCTGGTGGGGTGATGGCCCCAAGAACGTTCAAGAATGGCCAACCTGCTTTCCTGTGGTTTGAGTCAGCCACTGGCTCTGTGGGGCTGGTTTGTCTGGTTGGAGTATGACATCCTCTGCTCAGCAGGCACCCAAGAAGCCAGGGAAAAAGTTTAATCTCAGCGTTCAAGGTCCCATTCCTAAATTTCTCTGGGCCCCATCATTCAATGTACTTGTTTTGATTTCCTCTGCTTTTCCTTTTCTTTCTCAAACACAACATTTTGCTTTAAGCAGTCACCCTGGGCAGGCAGAAGGGGATAAGGACCATCAGATAGACATAGACACAGACAGACACAGATACATAGACAGATAGAGGGAGGGATGCCTGGGGTGGAACCTGAACTCTGTTGCTCTTCCCCTCCTCCTCTCCTGCACACACACACAGACACACACTGCCATCTCACACCATCACGGTTAAGCTTTAGCTCTAATATATACTTATAGGCCTACCAGGCAAGTTTAGTTTCACCCGTTGCTGGTTGAGCCCTGGCGAGGGCTGCCAGGAGCCTGGCCACACACATTAGAGACCTCCGTGCCCCTCAGGGACAGTTCCACCAGCCCCCTCTCCCATCAATGAACCCTCCAGGCGACTCACAGGACCCCTGTGCTGCAGTCTCACTGATCCAGATGTCCTTTCTGGGCACTGAACAACCCTCCCCATGTTCTCACAGCTCCTCGCTCTTCTTTGTTCTCCTTTACTAGGTACAAACGAACTCCACAGCTGATGCTCAGCACAAACCGTCTGCAGTTCCCAGTGAGTGGTGTCGACGCAGGCCTTGGGCCTTGGCTGCTGTGGCTCCCTCCTCCTGAAACAAGCCCCCTTCACCTTTGTCTGCCTGGGAAACTCCAGAAACAGTTCAAGAGTTACCTATAAAAATTCCGTGACCCTCTACCTCAAATGAACTGACCACTCCTAGGCTGTGCCATCCCCCCACACACCCCCCATGCTGGATCCCATCACCTCTTGGGGACACTTTATTAAGCTTATTTATTGGGGCTGGCGCCATGGCTCACTAGGTCAATCCTCCACCTGAGGCACAGGCATCCCACATGGGTGCCGGGTTCTAGTCCCGGCTGCTCCTCTGCTCCTCTTCCAGTCCAACTCTCTGCTGTGGCCCGGGAGTGCAGTGGAGGATGGCCCAAGTGCTTGGACCCTGCACCCACATGGGAGATCGGGAGGAAGCACCCAGTTCCTGGCTTCGGATCGGCATGGCTCCAGCCGTGGCAGCCATTTGGGGGGTGAACCAATGGAAGGAAGACCTTTCTCTCTGTCTCTCTCTCTCACTGTCTAACTCTGTCAAAATAATTAATTAATTAATTAAAAAAAAAAAAGCTTATTTGTTGCCGCATTGCCTCCTCCTTCCAGGCAAGACCCTCCAGCAGGGGATGCGGTCTTACACACCTTGGTATCTCCAGGCTGGCTCAGAACTGAGTAAGTAGTAAGAGCTGGATAAATATTTGGATAATGTTGGGGTGGGCATTTGGTGCAGCAGTTAAGTTGATGCTTAGGAAGCCTGCATCCCATATTGGAGTCCCAGCTCCACTTCCAATCCAGCTTCCTGCTTGGGCACACCCTGGGAGGCAGCAGATAACGGTTCAAATGCTTGAGTCTCTGCCACTCATGTGGGAGACCTGGATTGAGTTTTGGGGTCCTGGCTTCATTTGGGCCCAGCCCTAGCTGTTGTGGGCATTTGGGGAGTGAACTGGAAGAGGGAAGGTCTCTCTCTCAGATCTCTCTCTCTCTCTCTCTCCCCCCTCCCTCTCTCTCTCTTTTTGCCTTTCAAATAAAGAAATAATTTTTAAATGTCCAGGAAATATTCAGTCTGAGGGACTTTAGGTATGGAACCCAGATTTAAGGAGGTCTTCAAAAAGTTCATGGAAAATGCATATTATGAAAAAGCTCTGCATGGACTTGGAAACTCTTTTGCACCAAAATAAACTCACACTGACTTGTTATAACACACCTGCACAGGATCTCGTTTGAGGCACTAAGAAGGATGACATCAGGTTGAAAGGGTCCCCATCACAGAAATCTGAATTCTGCTAGAATCAAAGCAAGAACAAATAGCCAATTGACGGCGAGGCTTGGGTAGAATGGTGACGTCTTTCACGCTTTATAAAAAGTTTATGGGGCAACGCCCCCAAAGAAGTCAGCAGTTTACAAATGGATAACGGATGATGTCAAAGACGAAGCCTACAGCAACGGAGCAGTCACATGAGTTTGGGAGGAAAAACATTCATCTTGTTCACGCTCTAACTAAAGAGGACCAGAGATGAACAGAAGAATCAGTAACCAACACCGCCACCAACGCGTTTGGTTCAGTATGCGCAGTGTCAACTGAAAAATTAAAGTTGCACAAACTCTGCTCCCTGAGTGCCCAAGCTGCTGCCCCTGGAGCAGATGCAGACATGAACAGAGCTTTCGGCGGGAATCTTACACAAGTAGGACCAAGACCCTGAGCCTTTCTTCAAAGAACTGTGACAAGAACAGGAGCATGGCTGTACCGATGCAATCCAGAAGACAAAGCACCATCCCAGCGATGGCTGCCACGAGGTGGACGCGGTCCAGTTGAAGCGAAAGCGGACCGGTCAAGAACAAAGGTCACGGCAACAGGTTTTTGGGTGCTGAAGGCATTTTGCTTGCTGGCTTTCTGGAGAGCTAAATAACATCTGTTATTATGAGAGCATCCTGAGAAAGTCAGCCAATGGGGCCAGCGCCGTGGTGGGTAAAGCTGCTGCCTGCTGCGCCAGCATCCCATATGAGCGCCGGTTCAAGTCTGATCCAGATCCCTGCTAATGTGCCTGGTAAAGCAGCAGAGGATGGTCCAAGTGCCTGGGTCCCTCACCCATGTGGGAGACCCAGAAAAAGCTCCTGGATCCTAGCTTCGAATTGGCCCAGCTCTGGCTGTTGTGGCCGCCTGGGGAATGAACCAGCAGATGGTTCTCTCTCTGTCTCTCACTCTGCCTTTCAAATAAATAAATAAATATTAAAAAGAAAAAAAAAGAAAGAGTTTGCCAAAACTCTGGAAAAAAAAAATAC